GTGCTTACTTTGATGACAGAGTGAGTTTTGAATCTTTGAGCTCTGGTCATCATGCACAATGACCATTTGATTTGGAACTAGCCCTTTTCCATTCAAATTCTTCATTTGCATTCCACAAGGCTTCTCTCCCATTTGATGGGTAATTTAGTTTAGTTACAGGGGTAGATATCGTGTAATGTTCGCTATTACATCATCAGAGAATACAGCTAAGTGAAAATAATGCAAATAACATCATGTTTTCATGGAGTTTAAACATCAAATGCATTCATGCATTTAGTAATCACTCTGATCTAAACTGGTACACAAGTGCATCTGTAAATATTCATTGATGCCTCAGGCTTTGTCACGAGCTGAAAATGGTTTGCCGGGATCACAACTTATGTCAGTGCATTTACTTGACACGTCAGTCAGAGCTGTACATTTGCTGTCTCTAACTCTTTCAATATAAAATGTTTATTAATTTTTCCCCCTTTCAATAGAAATTTTGCAGACATAGCCCTGATATATTAGGTAAAATTTACCTGAAAACAATGATGAATTGCAGTTGCACTTGGTTTGCATTCATGGTGACCTACTGACAGGGGCTCAGATGACTTCTTGAGAAGTCCAAATAATTTTCTTCCTTATTAAGTCAGTTAAAATGGCACTGCTTGCGGCTCAGAATCTAGACTTTATCTTCAAACTGTTTTTTTCCAGCTATAATCATCTAGAGACACACGTAATGTAACTATATTACTTCTGAAAACCTTTGATGGCTTGACAAACATCTCCAGTTTAGGTGTCTCTGAAGGTGTGTTCAGTTTCCTAGCCTTCCAAGCATTCTAATTTTAAACTGTAGATATTTGTATTAGCATATATCCTTTTGATTGCAGGACCAAAGACTTGCTGTACTAGAACAGACAGAATGATTCTTTTAATTCAGCAGCCTGTGTCTGACAGTCGCTGGTAGCAGATGCTTCAGATGACAATGTAAAACTTTAATAATAATAAAATGTGATCATTAACAAAGCTTTTTCCTAACCATAGCAATTAGTTTCTATCTTACAGATTTTTTCTCTCTTGTAGCCTAGCTGCAGATGATATTATCCATACAAATATTTAATCCTTTTTTGAATTCCACTAAGTTCTTTGCCTCACCATTTTGTGACTTCTGCATTCCACAAGTTAATCCTTTTGCTAAATTTAAGGATCTTAATTCAGGAAAGCCTCTCTTCAGTACAGTATACAAGCATATGCCTACATGCCACTGAAGGAAATAATATTTTGGGGCTTTAACATGAGTTTTAAGTCTCATTCTTGTTGACTTCAGACAAGCATGTATTTAAGTTCTTCCTTGAATCAGGAAAGTTAAGACAAATTAATGAAAGGTGTGAATTTAAAGTGCATTAAAGCTGGGGTGGACACTTTAATTTACTCCAAGAGGAGTAAGCTAAAGAGAACTAAGGTCACTTTATTTTTCAATGAAAATGTTGAAACTGCTGTTTTATGCCTTAAACTTTACACCCATAATTATCCACAGGTGCATCTCTGTGTTCTGCCTATACAATAGCTTCCACTGCTCCTGTCGCCACCATGGCTGCTATGGTGGTGAAATGTGCGCCTGATTCGCCTAGTGTCAACAGGAACTAAACATCACCAACTGTGCTCTGACTGCTTGGAGACAGGGACAAGAAGTATGTTTGTGGATGTGAGAGTCACAGTTGAACCCAGCTTCTTCTCTTGTAGCTGCATTAGCTAGCAGTGCCCTCAGGAGCAATAGAATATTGCTTTTGTGAGTAAAGTGAGCAGTTATGATTCAACAAACATACAGTGAGCAAGGCCCAGTTAGTAACAATTTCTTCATGTTGTTTTTCTTGAATATTTGCACTTTAAAGGAGGGAGCAGTATGGAGTGGTTAAATGCCTTTGTCCCCTATTCAGTACTGCATGAAATACCACTTCATTAAGCCTGTGCTTGGGAAAGAGGGGGAAATTTTCCCACTGTGACCACAGGGACATTTCCAGAGACTGCTCTAGCCAGGTACCCTCTGTTAGGTGCAGAATAGGAGTATCTCTAATCTACCTGTCCTGTGATGGGGGAAGGGATAGCTCAGTAGTTTGAGCAATTCCTGCTAAACCTAGAGTTGTGAGCTCAATCTCTGAGGGAGCCATTTAGGCATCTGGTGTAAATCTGTTAGGGATGGTACTTGCTCCTGCTTTGAAGGCAGGGGACTGCACTTGATGACCTTCCAAGGTCCCTTCCAGTTTTATATTACAATGTAACCACACTGGTTCTGGAGCTAAAGCCCTCCTCTCCTGCTAGAGAAGGCATACTATTTACTTGATTCATTTATGTATTTTTTGTTTTATTTAAGTCTTGTGCAAGCTCCACATAAAGGGCTAGCGATCCTGCAGCTCTCACTGCAGTTGAAAAACCACAAGAACATGGGAGGCACAGCAATCATTGCTCTCATTAGGCTAAGTAGAGTCAGTGGAAAATATCTCAAGAAAAAAAGCTGTCCTGATTAATCATGTGTCAAACAAACAGATGGACAGATTCTAAGTATGGGTCCCAGCTCTGGCAATTTGGCACCAGGAAAGCAGACAGCTGCCATATGGGGTAGCTAAGGAGTACCCCACCAGAGACATCTTCATGCAAGGCAAGGTGCATGATGTGGCAAGAGAGAGTGTGCAACTTTCTGCCTAATTCTCAGCTACAAGAGTGACCCCTGTGGGATGCTTTAGCTGTGTCATTTAGCCTGGTCACTAACTTGCTCTGAGTTAGTGATTTTCAAAATTATTTGACTGTGCCCCCTTTTTGTGTCTGTAGTAATTTATGCTCTCCCTTCTTGTGACACAATCACACAGGTACATATACCTATACTAATATACTCAGTTTCAGCTTCCTTGATTTTCACTTGATTTTTTTGAGCCAACAATCCAATGTAAATGAGAAAAACCAAAACTGCAATTCTGGTTGATGCTTACAATTAAATGTACATGTCTTAAATGGATTAATATATAAATGGCAATGACACTGTGCAATGCTATCTATGCAAGCTTAGAAGAAATCTGCCAAAATTCAGAGCACCCTCTAGAGTCAAGTGCACAGCACAATCTAAGGCTGAAAGAATCTGCTTTGCTAGTTGTTCAGAGCTGTGGGTATAATTTGTGCTGTAAGATCCTTACAAAAGAACTTCTCATGTCCCTCCCCGAATACTTTCTGTGCCCACCAACCTCCAGCTTGAGAATCTCTGCTCTAAGATTCAGTCTCCACTTGGCCAGCTTGAGGAGAATTGAAAAGTGATTTCTCCTTATCTCCTGCTGTCATCAGCTGGACCGAGGCTCCGGCCCAGAGTGTATTGAACTATGTGAAGTGTTTTCATTATGTTAAATTCAGAGAGTCATGAAGAAAAGGCAAAATGGTCAACTTTGGGGGATTTAAATGAAGACGGAAGGGGTAAGTGAATATAAGGGAAGTGGATCAAGTTTAAAGAGCTCTGAAAAGCAGGAGGGCAACTGTGAATTATCTGTGGCCAGCTAGAGGTCAGTGAAAGTATGTGAAGATAAGGGTAATGCACTGATGATACCTGGAGGAAGAGAATAATCAGGTTGCAGCATTCGGCACCTCCTGAGGTTTAGCTAATGGGAATTCAGAAAAGCCAGGAGAAAATAAATAGTAAAGACAAACAGAGATTAAGGCATGAAGAGAAAAGACTTTAGTAGAAGTGGAGCCAAACTATGTATTTTGGCAGTTTCCCAGAGGTGCATTTGGGCAGTGTTTCAGAGGTACGCCTCAACACTACAACAGGATGTAGTGTTGTATCACCACTTGATCTTGAGACAACTTCCGTGACCACTAAAATTGGTTAGCTTGCCCTATTATTTTTTTGTACTTCATTTCGTGTTGTGAGAAGGGTGAGAGAGAAGTTGTTGAGGAGAGGGTAATAGGTCTTTGGCAGAAGATGGTATAATCTCAGCTACGCACTGTTGTTGGCTTATAAGAGGTTTGATTTTTTCACTTGTAGCATCAGTCTAGCTCTAATTCACTGGGTATAGAAGTTATGAAAAATTGCTATAGTTACAACTGCAAATACTAGGTTAGTTCCAAGCTAAGTGGGTTATTGTTTTGATTGCCTTTATTTCCAGGTAAGCACTGTAAATGAATTCTTAGAAAGCACAGAAACTATAGAACCATTTTCCTTGAAGAAGCCTCTAGTCCAGGTTACTGAAGTCACTTTCAGTGACTGACTTTCTTCTTTTATTCATTTTCAGGTATCTTGTCCAGTGCTGAGGAGAGAGTAGTAAGCATGGTGGTGTTCTGGCATCACAGTGCCTCTCTTCCTTAAGTGATGTGGAGTCTCAGTCTTATTGCTTCCTTATTCAGTAAAAGTGAGAATGTAATCATGTAAGAGTTCAGAATCCCCAAAGGATGCAAATACCATTTACTCTTAGCTTTCTAGAAGGAAGGACAGTGTACTTGGTGTTTTATTATTTGTGCCAAGTTTTTTTCCCTGGGTATAATTTGTACTCCCAAGTAAACAGGATTATTTTTGGAGCTCTCTCCTAAGTAACTAGTTATGTAGAGGACAGTTGCTAAATAAACCTGACTTTTCCAAGTTTATTTCCTGCATTCTCAGTATGTGGCAAAATCTAGGCAAGGACAGAGAGTTTCCTGTTGGTAGTGTCTCTCTCTTAGGTATGTAGTGAGTTACCACCATTAGCAATGGAATGTCTCACATGCTGCTCAGTCAAGATAGTATTATCCGCACAGTATATCTACTGAAAAGAAAAGTAGAATATGATCTGCAAAGGCTGGAGGTAAATAAAAACCTGACACACGATCAAGAACAATTCAGCTTTGCAGAGAAGACTAAGAGCTTTGTCTTGCAGGATGCTGAACCCCTCCTAGGAGGTGATGGATGCCCTGCTCAGGCTATTGAGGAGCTGAAAGTTTTGGTTCCATAGAAAGTTGCTTTTTCTGGTTATATTTTTGAATAGCTTACAAAATAATGACTTGGGAAAGTAAAATGCATGTTACGCTAGTGAATTATAAATCCATTGCTCATCTAGCACTTTAAATCTGCAAAGTGCTGTTCAGACTGTGAGGTCAGATGGTAGCTGTTAAGCCTTGGGGAGATTTGGAGGGGTCTTGCTGCAGCAGGAGTCCTCATGAGGTTGTTCTTCCTGAATATTCTCTTGCAGGTTTTCCACAACCACATGGCGTATGGTGGATTTTCCATCTTTCCAGTTTGAACAGTTTGTACTCTCAGGCTAAGTTAGCTGCTGGGGTGGGATGGTCACTGCTTTTCTTTTTGGGTAGCTAAAGCTCCTGTTTACTTTAGTAGTGAAGGATCAGGCACATAGTGAGTCGGGCTACATCAACATTACTGTGGGGGTTGACACACTGAGACATGGCCATTGGTGGTTGATTTAGAGGGTCTAGTAAAGACCTGCCAAACCATTCACAGATTGCGCTTCAGTTGATGCTGGTACTCTACCCTGGATAAGAAAAGAAAGGAAAGTAAATGTGAGAATTTCTTCCATCGACCCTCCATGCTGTAGACCCTGCAGTAACTCAGCCTAACATACGTTGACTTCAGTTATGTTATTCAGATAGCTAGAGTTGCATACCTTAGGTCAGCTTTCTGCAGTAGTGTAGATATAGCCTCAGCAGGAGAGCCAGGGATAATTACCGACTTATTGCCCCCATGTTAGTCTATTACTGCTTCTCGGGAAACACATAGGATGGTAGTACATATGGAAACTGACAGACTTAATACCGTATTTCTCAGGGCTGTTTATGAGGAATCAGATGCTTTATATAAATGTGAGAATAATCTTTAACAAATATTCTTTGATTGGATTAACAAACAATAATGCTGTACTCTATGTTCCCTCACACTCTTAATCAATTTCTTATTAATTTATGGTCAACTGTTTTTCACTTTATTTTCACTCCACAGCTGCCTACATAATACATATTATGTACATGTTGCATCTACCTACAAGAAAATATAGAAGATTTAAATTTCATCCACAAACTTCCTATATAACTCCTGTTCAGCATTTAGATCAAAAGATTCTAATGTTTTACCCAAAATATTGGCAATAAACGTGTTTTCTTGCATATAGACAAATTGAAAAGAATTTAAAAAGGTGATAAACACAGGACACAGCTGTGTAAGGGTATTTCAGTAATTTCAGGATTCACTGATCAGGAAGTGACTCGTCCTGAATATGTTATACTTTTTCAAACTGTTTTCAAAAAACTCCAGTCATCTGAAGAAGTGGGCTGTGCCCATGAAAGCTCATGATACCATCTGGTCTAGACAATGCTACCAGACCTTTTGTTGTTTTTTATGTTTTTCAAAAGGCAGCAAAATTCAATATCTTCCATTGTTTGCACGTTATTGTTGCTGTGGTGGTCCCCACAACCTTGCTAAGTGCATCATCAACTCAAAGTGATATTGGCCATTGCCACAGCAACAAAAGCAAAACTTGTAGACCTACGATGATCAATACCCTCCACAACACAGTTTTCAAAATCTAGGGGCCTATTAGAACATGTGGTATACTTCAGTCAACGCACAAAACACCCCAAGAACAACTGTGTGAGTGAAATGAGACTATCACTGGAATGAACTCTCTCAGAAAAATGAGACACAAAAACATTGTATCGCCTGTGGGCAAGCACTTCTCACAAAACAATCATTCCTTATCTGACCTCTCAGTCCTTGTCCTCAGAGGAGCCCTTCATAATGTTTTCAAGACAAGCCTGGGAACTTCAATTCATAGCTTGGTTAGACATCAAAAATCATGGACATAATAAAATTGCTGGATTTATGGCTCATTACAACATGCTGTAACTCACTCACCCCACTTTGTCCTACAGCTGAAGAAATATTAACTACCCACTTCACCTTGAATGGTCTCTTGCTGAATGTGTTAACTCCCTATCTGTTCCACATTGAATGTGGCTGTGAGGCTTTGTGTACCTTTCTCAGACCTGAAGAAGAACTCTGTGTAACTCTAAAGCAGTGGTTCCCAAACTTTTCCACAACATGCCCCCTTCTCCCACACTGGGGAGTGGGAGAAGGGAGGGGAGGGCTTAGCTTCAGGGGCTGGATTCAGGAAAGCCAGGAGGCTGCATCTGTCCCCCGGGCCTGAGGTTCCTCACCCCTGCTTTAAATTGTTCCTTAGGATTATGATTTAATCTTTTCTGACCTATCTCCTGGATTTGGTTAAGTGACAACTCAGCACATGTAGGGTATGTCTACACTCCTCGTGAAATGAGGAGTAACGGTAGTTCGAACTAGGAAGCCTAGTTAGAACTGCCTAGTTCGTGCCCTGTGTAGCCGCGCTGCACGGGGTTCGAACCAGCGGGGATTTAAAAATGGCGGCTCCCTGCTTATGCAAATGAAGCCCGGGAAATTCAAATCCCGGGCTTCATTTGCAAGTGCGGTATGCCTACATTACCCCGCTAGTTCGAACTAGTGGGGTAGTGTGGACATACCCAAAGGGGCTGGGAAAATGATGGTGATAGATAGTCAGGTTTCGAGTTCTTTGTATGAACACTCCATCCTAATGCTAATTTCAGCTAACTAAACATTCTCCATCTTTTATACTGTCTATCCCATTTTCTCCTCTCAAGGATGATGTGTGCCTCCTCCTCATCCCCATCTTTCCATTTATACATTAAAATGTTACATCAAGATAAATGTTGAAATATGCTCACACAACACGCAGAGCCTAAACTCCACTCTTCACAGAGAGTTAGATGCCTGACTCTGGGTCAGAGGAAGACACCTCCCTCCATTTGGGATTCACAGCCATTAACCAGATCCTGGAGTGAGGTGCCTATGTCAGCTTTTCCTGGCACAAAGTGGTGATGGCGCCTCCTATGCTCCACTTATCACAGTGGATAGTGTGGTCACCTGGAATGTGGCACCCTCAGTTCAAATCCCCATTTCTGCCTAATTCAGAACAGGGACTTTAAACCAAGTCTGCAACTTCCATGCAAGTGCCCAAACCTCTGGGACATGGAGTATTTTGGAATAGGTCTCTACTATTGCTGCTGTTACACTTTCTATAAAGTGGCCTCTAAGCACACCTATCAGATTAGGCCCTCCAGGCAAAATGCAGGGAATGCTGAGTTTGAGAATTGTGCCAGCATTTAGGGTTAAGCAGTTTAGGGATTAGGCAGTTGTGCGCGTCCCACTAGTAAGAATTTAGGTGTTTACAAAGTGAGCCAGCCCCTGACTTGTGAGGGGGCTGAGGATCTCTAAAATGTGGACATAGAAACCTAAAAAGTGATAGTTGAGCCCCTAGTATATCTAGCCCCTGGTGTATTGAATCATAATTTGAAATGAATCTGAAAAGTAACATTTCTGTGTTTTCTTTTTATATTATTAGACTGTAAGAACAGCCATTCCTGGTCAGAGCAAAGGTCCATCTATCTCATTGTCCTGTCTTCTGACAATGGCCAATGTCAGGTGCTTCAGAGGGAATGAACAGAGAAGGTAATTATCAAATGATCCATCCCTTGTCACCCATTCTCAGTTTCTGGCCAAAAGAGGTTAGGGGTGTTTTGGAGCATGATTTTGCTTTCCTGCTCTGCCTAATAGTCATTGAGGGAACTATTCTCCATAAACTTATCTAGTTCTTTCTTGAATCCTATTTTAGTTTGGCCTTCACATCATTCTCTGGCAAAGAGTTTCACAGATTGACTGTGCATTGTGTGAAGAAATACTTCTTTTTTTTTTATTATTTTAAACCTGCTACCTGTTAATTTCATTAAGTGAACCCTGGTTCTTGTGTTATGAGGAGTAAATAACACTCCCCTTTTTTATTTTCTGCATACCAGTCATGATTTTATAGACGTCTTTCATATGGATCTATGGTCTTCTCTTTTCCAAGATGAAAAGTCCCAGTATTACAAATTTATCCTCATATTTGCTGAAGGAGCATGGAATATGTAAGCATTTTTTATGCAAGGACATATATATTCTGATGATAGGACATGAAGCAATGGACTGCAGCAAGGGAGGTTTGGGTGGGATATTAGGAAAAACTTCCTAACTGTCAGGATGGTTAAACACTGGAATAAGTTGCCTAGGGAGGTTGTGGAATCGCCATCTCTGGAGATATTTAAGAGCAGGTTAGATAGACATCTATCAGGGATGATCTAGATAGTGCTTGGTCCTGCCATGATGGCAGGGGACTAGACTTGATGATCTCTCAAGGTCCCTTCCAGTTCTAGTATTCTATGAGTCTATAATTCTATAATTTAAGAAATAATTAATGAATTTTGTCTTGACTCTGCCAGTTACATATTATTTACAATTTAAAACTAGACAACCTTAAGAAGGTTATAAGATTTCTACCATTTTTAAAATGTTAAGATTTCTTTGGAGGGGTTCTGCCCTTTTATAATTAATAGAAAATTAATAGTAGTGTATCATGAGAAATTTATCTAGAGGAATTTAGTTCCAGTAATCAGTCTTAACAACCTCTTCTGATCATTACATCTGAGCCTTGGTCTACACTAGGACTTTAGTCTGAAATAAGTCCCCCAAGTTTGAATTAGTAAGTGATGTGTCCACACTCCCAAGCCTGTTATTTTGGAAAATGTGCAGTGGAATTCGTGTTCTGTACTCCTGCTTTTCATGAGGAGTAATGCTAATTTCAAACGTGTAGGTCTGAAATAATGTTAGTATGGATCTTCCGGTGCTGCTAATTCAAACTAATTGGCCTCTGGGAGGCCTCCGGCAGCTCTCCAGAGTGCTTCCTGGGGCCCACATTAACAGAGCCTGCCTCAGACTAATTTTGATGCTTCCCCATGGTGAGGACATGCAAGTTTGAATTTGTTAAATCAGGAGTTCTTACATCGAATTTAGTAATTTAGAAAAATATTCCTAGTGTAGACATGGCCTAACTGACATGTTGAACACTGAGCTCACCAATCTAGATATTTACATAAAGGCAAAATCTCCTCCTTGTGGTGATATGAGTGAACTCTAAAGTCATTATCAGGGCAGGCCAATCAATTTAAAATTGGGCCTAACAAGCACTCCCCATCCATTAAATTTCATAAATGCAGTTAAGTCACATTTAGAAGGATGCAAAATTACTTCTTGTCTAGTATACAGCCAAGATAATCATGTCCAGTCTGATCCTTACACCTTAAAATTGTACTAATCATTGTAATCAAGAGAATAAACATCAACATAAGCATGGCTGGTGCAGATTTTATGAAAATAAGATTAAGCAACAGATCAAAACAAATGCTACCATACATGTGGTTCAATTTTATTTAACTGAGTAGAAAAGCTGAAAAAATGCACATAATATTTTTGAAAGGTTTTAGAATGGCATAAAATACTACACAATGTTTGCTCCTTGTTCTGATTCAAAAATTCCCAGTACAGTATTAAAACTTGCTTCCTCCCTGGTGTTAATAAGGTATAAGAGGAACAATAAGTTTTGAACCTAGGTTCTCTTCCACAAACAGTAGAAGCCAGTGCCAGTGAGAACTGTGCAGATGAGGGAAGTGATATGCGTGACTGCATGCAGAGTGCAGCCTCTGGGTCTGATCAGATTGTTAGCTGGGGTAGATCAGTACTATTGCAGATTGAAGAAGTCAAGCTCTTGAAGTCTATAGAGGTGCACAAATTTACATTAGTTGACAACCTGCCTCAGAGTTGGCACTTTAAGTAACTTACACCACTTCTCTCATTTACACTGTGCACAGATCCCTCAGGTAAGTTAATGAGTTCAGACCCTGTCAGCCGACGGTCAGGGCAGTGAGTGGTGTGTGTGTGTATACTATACACCCGAGACTTCAACTGCTGAGACCGGGGTCCCTTGCAGTGGGCAACCTGGAAGAGGTTGATGGGCGCCCCAATAAGTGTACAGGAAGAGCTTATTACACTTCAGATTTTAGCTGCTAGAATATGTGATTCCTTCGCAGCGGGCAGCCTCGGGGAGGCTGAGAAGTGCCCCAAAGGATTTTGCCACCTAGGTGTGACACAAATCCAAACGCCCAAGCTCTTCCTATACTGTCCCTAATGACCGGCTGAAGTTCTTTTTAAATTGTGCCTGGTTCTGTTACAGCAACTGAAGGAGTCAGGTTAAAACTTAAACATTTACAGGTTTATTGAGGAAGCTTATAAATCATATGGTTGCAATGGCTATTGTTCTATTTCTTAACTGCTGACAAATATATATATATATATATAGAGAGAGAGAGAGAGAGAGAAATGGTTACAAAGAAGATAAAGATAGGAAATAAAAAATAATGGTACCAAATGACAGCTTAATCTTTAAAGAGCTCTATTCTATGCATGCACTATAACAAAAGGACACATACAGGTACAATTTTTACCCCCTTCTGTGTCACTCGATCCCAGCGTGTCAGGCCAGGATTGGTCCCTCAATTCCTCGGAAAGATGAAAATACGAGGTGGGTGTCCCCGTGGAACCTCAGGAGGTCAAACACCTAACCCGACCAGCAGGTAGAGGGCAGATTGACACTCAAAAGAGAGTGTGCTGCTGTACCACCTTTTATACCCGTTGGGTCACGTATTTTCTCTTTCTTATCTGTAATGCCAAATGGTGCTGGTCTGTCTTTTGTGAGACCAGCTCTTACAAGGGAGTTGTGAACTTAATTTACACTTGTAAGAGAGAGTTGAGAGGATTAAATTGGAAGTACTGGACATTCTTTTTCTCAGTGGGAAATTCCTCTCCCAGGGACTGTGTGTGTTTGAATCAACATGGGTGCCAGCCGGGCACTTCTTGCAGCCTCGAGCTCAGTTCATTTCCTTAATCGTTACTCAGAGTCAGAGAAACTCGCATATCCTGGTTTCGCATCAAAGCAGATCAAAGCTTAATGGCTATGCTGATTTTCTTATTGTTCCTTCTCTGCCCTGTATACAGACATCTCAGAGGGCAAGCAAGATTGTTTGAGATGGGGGGGGCTGTCTGGCTACAGACCCTGAAGAATTTCTGGGTGGAGCTTGGAAAAGCATCCCATCTCCTTATCTCATCCTCAGCTAAAGCCCTTCACCTACTCACAGCCAGTGCCACCCTCAGCATGCAAATTATCAGTGAATACTGAGAAGTTATGGCTGCCTGCCTATCACAAGTGCCTTCTGCTATATCAAAAAGCTTTTTTCCTGTTGGTCTCTTCCCCCTGGATTCTTCAGGATACTTCCTTATCCTCCACATTGTTTCAGTTGTAAGGATTCCCTAAAGGAAACCTTTTGTGTGCAATCTCTAATTTCCTAAAACAAAAAACAGGACTATGTAGCGCTTTAAAGACTAACAAGATGGTTTATTAGGTGATGAGCTTTCGTGGGCCAGACCCACTTCCTCAGATCAAATTGTGGAAGAAAATAGGCATGACCATATTTACCAAAGGAATACAATAAAAAAAAGTGAACGCATATAAAAAGGACAAATCAAGTTTCAGAACACAAAACGGATATCAGACAGTATGACAAAGAAAAAACAGTTTCTTGCCATTTCAACCAGAAAGGGCATTGTCTCAATGAATTGATTACCTGCATCCTGCTTCAAAGACATTTTAACATCAGATTTGAAAGAGAATCCTCTGAACTATCAATCATGCTTAAATTTGACACTTGACACCTAGGTCTGAACAAAGACATTAATTATCTTACCCATTACAAGGATTGCTTCCCCAATTATCACCTCTAATATCATTAGCTCACAGACATTTACCTCCCACCCCTCCATCCCCCTTCTGTTCTGAAATTTGATTTGTCCTTTTCATATGTGTTCATTTTTTTGATTGTATCCTTTGGTATATATGGTCATGCCAATTTTCTTCCACTATTTGATCTGAGGAAGTGGGTCTGGCCCACGAAAGCTCATCACCTAATAAACCATCTTGTTAGTCTTTAAAGTGCTACATAGTCCTGTTTTTTGTTTCAGCGACACCAGACTAACATGGCAACATTTCTATCACTAATAATACTAGTTATGTTATCATCCTGATGCAAGTAATGAACCTGATTCAGATCTGCTGAAGATGGTGACAAATCTCTGCTAAAGTTGCAGCGGGAACACCAGATTTGTAAAAAAAATCACCAAAATGCTGGGTCTTCAGAGACATTCCTAATTTTTTTTTAATATAACACTAGGAAAATTCAGTAGGAAGAGTGCACAGCATATTGCTCTTACTGCCTGCCCTTGTGTTTAGCTTGTCCTGCATAGCAACTGTTGCTAGCGGGGGTGTGACTTAATCTCCGAACTAGAATGTGATTAAATATAACTGAACATGTGTGAAATGTGCTTGTAGTTCTGTGTAGCTAGCAAACTAACCCCTGTAATAACTTTGAACTGTTTTAATAGCTTTTTTGTGCAATCTACATTATCTCTAAGAGAAAGGAGACATACGTGATCTCGTTATGAAGGTATGGTGAACTCGACTAGAAACTTCTCAGAAAAAATAAATGTACAGCCCTGAACATCATTCTTTAAAGTGCATGTCAAAAACATAGAACAAAGAATGCCCTCTTCTGGAAACACACCTAGCAGATGGACAGGGGTCCAGGAAAGTGTCTGATTCACCTTCCAGAATCTCCTGCAGGAGGGGGAAGTAGCAGAGAGAGAGAGGGACACAGGGGAGGCTGAAGTGTGACACTGTAACCTCATGGGTCCTCAGGTTCCATCCAAGCAAACCCCCACCTTGAGGAAGTTCATGTATTTAATGCAGGTTCTGTGACAGCCAGGCTTCTCTAGGAGCAGGACTGCTTTGGGGTAGGAACTCACACATCAAAACAGGCCATTCTCTCTGAGTGTGATACAGGGCACATCCTCAGGTGACACAATGCCTATCAGTTGTTTCAGACAGAAGAAGACTGTAAATACTGAATCCTCCCTATGTTACCTCCAGCAATGGCTCCCAAAACATTTCAAGACCTGGTCCCCTGATGTACCCATTGAGCAGCTTTTCAAATCCCTGCGATGGGGGGAGAATCACAGAGGCAGACTTACCTATAGTCCCTCCTTCACCCATGGATCCTGCAAGTCTTGTTCCCTGCTCTCTGGGGAACTGTAACAGACATTATGTAAATAATTACCACAAGATGAGAACTTAAGCCAAATTACCTGTGATCTCAGGTGTATTGGAGATGCACGGCCACAAGCCAAATGTTTTAAACTTTTCATAAGTTGCTGATATTTCTTTAAAACCTCACTTTTCAAAATATTTTATTGATTTTATACTTTTCTGTACAATTACATTAATAACTATTTACACTGTAGGCTCACAGTATAAAATTATAACTGTAATGGGCTATTTTTCTCTCTGTGTGTCTCAAACAAATCCAGGGCATGATTTATTTGTGAAAGATATGGTGTTGGCATCTGATATTTGAACTTTAAAATAGGTCACACAAGTCACTAGTGGTGTGACTATTCACATTCAACATCAAATACTGGTATTCAGTTGTATTATGCCAACCATATGGGACAAATGGATTTATCAGTATTTTATATCCAAAGCTGAAAATATGGTGAAAAGTATTTCATTAACCTTCTCTTCCCTCATTCTCCTCCCCCAAAAGTTGAGAAATTCCAAGACAAATTTGTTGTAGAAAGTTATGAGGAACTACAAGCAGATATTAGAATGGAAATTTAGTCTTAACTATGCTGACAAAATACAAATGCCAATGTACTGTATTTTATTGGCATTGACATTTTCTTTTAACAGGTTCTTATGCTTTCTGTCCTACTTAAAAAAAGGCTTGATTATGCACAGAATAGTTTTAAAGGCTGATTGGTAATACCTAAATTAATGTACTTTTATAAATGTTTTATTCATATTTATGGCATGAGTACTAACTGCTGCTACAGTACATTCTCATCTCATTATACAGCATGCTATAGTGATAAAAGCTTAATATTCATGATGATGATAGGACAAGCTGTTACAATGTTACTCAAAATTATGATATTCTGAATTTTTATGAAGAATAATTTTCTGTTAAATGCAATTCTCTTTTCTGTTCCTGCTTTAATCATATAACCTCATTAACCCTTTGAATACATCAATAGAGTGTTGAAGGCATTGGAGATCCGCATGACTTTGATGAGGCTTTTTTTTAATGGTATTAATCAAGCCATACATATGCCTCTTTGCTCAGTGTGTGTGTGTTTGCATGTGGCACAGAAGAAGTTTAAATAATGCACCCTGAAAGAAAGATATTTTCGATTAAATTAATTTTCATTTAATATGAAAGATCCCCATTAAAAATGGGCCACTCTTAAAAATATTGTTGCCACTCCGCTATTCTAGCTGGCCAGGACAAGATCTACTGGATTCCCTAACCAGAATTAATTCTGTCAAATCCTGTTTTAAAATATGCATGAGAAAATATGGAATTGCTAAATAATGTATAGTAGCGGTGAGCCACTGCATATTCAATTTGATTTGGGTGCTCTGCAGTAGAAATGCTCGAAAAATCTGTCTTGAAATGTCTAGAAATCTGCTTTCGAATATAATGAGAACAGCGTTTACTAGGGGATTTCTGGTACTTCCTCATTCCTGGTGGGTTGATGGTACTGTGAGAAATGCATATTTTTTTTCAGAATAATTCTGCATACTCCTTTCAGGCCAACAGGAAACAGTGAGGAAAGGAAGCAAAAGAAAGGGTTCAACCCTTGAAAGTTCTCTGTGTGAACCATTACCACTGAAGTCTTCTTGGGGACCCAGAGTGGCATCTGCAGGATTAGCTCAAAATTCAGTTGTTTTCACCTAAAAAACAGCTTAAATGGCGATGAGTAAGTTGTGAGTTCAGTTTAAAAAGTGGTTGCTTTAGGTCAGTGTGACCGAAAGTGATTTTCCTGTGCCAGACACTTTCCACTCGTCTATCTCAGCAGCTAGGATTCTCATTTCCAGTCTCATCTGACTATGCCAGTGAACCACAGCAGAGACTGGCTTTCTGAATTGCCTCTCTCTATTACCTGCTTGGAAAACTGCACTTTGGCTCTGCTCTCCAACATTCTTATTGATGTAGGAGGGGTCATGTAAGGCCGCAGTACCTGTGCATATAATGTTTGGCGCGAGGCAAATAGGTTCTAGGAGCAGCACAGAAGCCTCTCACTTATTACTACACATCAAATCTGGAATTTATGTGGTAATAATGCAGCCAATAGCTAGTAATGCAGCCAATAGCTAATAGACTCTCTTTAGCCTATGAAAGTCTCAGAGGGGTAACCATGTTAGTCTGTAACTTTAAAAACAATGTGCAGTCCAGTGGCACCTTAGGACACATCTACACAGTAGGTTATTTCAAAATACCAAGCGTTATTTTGAAATAACAAAGTGAGCATCTCCCCAGCAAGGCCATTATTTTGAAGTAATTTTGAAATAACTGTCTTCTTATTTTGAATTCTGTAACCCTCATTTAATGAGGAATAATGCCTATTTTGAAATAGGGCGTGTAGATGGGGCAGCTGAAGTTATTTTGAAATAAGTGGCCTCCAGGAAACCTCGCAGCTGCCCTGATGGCCACTCTGTCCACAGTCAACAGAACTCTATAGTTCACCTTCCCCTGCAGCCCTTCAAGTTGCAGGCAGAAAGGAAAGGGCTTGTGGCATGAAGCAGGCCCTGCTCACATTAAGCCACACAGCAGGACCTTGCACAGCCTACCCTGCTGCCATGGCTGAGCTCACCGCTCCAGCCGAGCCCCCTCCCCCCCCCACACACTGCTGCAAGCATAGCTTCAGCAACTTCTAAGCCCCTGCCTGGGGCCGAAGAAGGGCACCATTCTGGTCTGGTGTGCAGATCCTGGATCTCTTTGAGATCTGGAGTGAGGAGGCAAATCTGAAGGATCTCCACACCAGGTTGCGGACATTTATGGCCAGATGGCCAACAGCCTGAGCCACAAGGGCCATGTGCGCACCCAGGAGCAGGTGTGCATGGAGGTCAAAGAACTGAGGTAGGCCTACACGAAGGCCAGGAAGCACAGGTCCCACCCAGGGGTAGCACCCCGGCCTTGCCCCTACTACGAGCATCTCCACTGCATCCTGGGGCGGGGAGGAGGGGGTGTTCAGTCCCATTCCCCCGCCCCTTTGTCATGAACTCTAGGCTGGAGACACCGGTCATCAGTCACCTGGAGGGCATGGCTGGGGATGAGAAGTAGGAGGTGAAAGAAGAGGAGGAGGAAAAGGCCAGCATGGATACAATGCCTACCAGCCAGGAGGATATTCTGGCTCTGGAGCCAGTACCCTCCCCCTAGAATGTCACCCAGGGACTGCACAATGATGGGGAAGGCCCATCAGATAAGTTCCATTACTTTCCCTATGCACATATGGGGGGAGGAAGCAGGCGGCAAGGGGCTGTGCACACTCCTTGCTCAGCCTTCTCAGCATGGGGATCACACAGCAGCCCATGCACGTGGGTGCACATGGAGCACCAGTCCACAGCCCGCAGTCCAAGGAGCCTGCCACAAGCAGGACCTTGTGCTGCTGCTCACAGGGTTCCTGCACAGGTCCGCCTTATCCCGACCCTTTGGTGGGACATCTTCCCACCACAAGCCAGCACTAAGGAAGATGCGGTCATGGACACACACAGCAGTGCCACACACACCACATGGTCCTGCCTGCACTTCTGGGACAGCATCTGCTTGTGGGCAAGTGTGGCAAGGCAGAGGACACGTAAGGACACTATTCATGTGGATAAATTGAAAAACAGGAATAAGCATCGGTAGGACCAGGGATGTAGGCTGCTCTTCTTGTTTCATCTGGATGACATCTTTTTTTATTTTTTTTAAGTGTTAGCATCTGTACACAGGTATTTTCAATAAGACTGTTATTTTTGCAAGAATTCAATAATTTGAAGAAGTATATAACACTTCTAGACATCAACTTAAAGCAACAATTCCTGATTTATTAAGTTTTGTAATGCTACTTTAGACACGCAGTAACGAATTAATCAGCAACTAAGGTTCAATGTTTAATGGCATTTACTGGATCCCAAGAGATATTACTGTGGTAATCAGGTAACTAATCAAGCAAACACAGTATTAAATGTTCTGTTCACAAAATTCCAGAACTATTGAACCACACAGGATGTTGAGAATGTCTTACCTTAAAATATTAGCTTGTACGTTGTTTAACAAATAACTTTTACTTTGGGAGTGAAAAATAACAAAAAGTGAAAGTACAAAAACTTCTATCACATTTAAGTACCTGATAATTTTATTTTTTATTATTATTTAAGAAAAATGTCCATTGAAAATTCTTCTGGGATGGCCTTGCATTAGTGAGGTGAACAATTACTTCATGTATTATTAGCTGCTGAACTAAATGAATTTTGCATTACACAGTCCATAAAATACAAACACCTTCCAGCACCTCTGAAAGCTTAATGGATATGTGTTTTTCAATAATTTTTTTTTACTTTTCGTAATAGCACAACTGCTAAAATTACTCCACTGAAGCAGCTTTTGGCAATAAGCATTATTAATAAGTAAGTTTGTAGTACTGGCTGTGTTCCCATGTGTAAAGGGCACTTATACTAAATCTGGGAGAAAGTGCTGTTTTCATCTACATCAAATGATCTGACTAGAAATGAAGTATTTTGTTTCTACTTTGTTTTATTCCAATATTACTGTTTTGTTTGTACTTTAAAGTTTAATACCAGATTTATAAGATATTTTAATATTTTATATGGCAGCATTATTGAAATATAACATTTTGAGAAGACAGTTTAGGTTTGGGAAATAAATCTGAATTTTCATTTTCTGGTATACTTGGTAATATTGACTTGGTAACTTTAATTGTCATGATTTGGAATGAAAGGAAAATGTGAAATGATAGAATTTCCTGTGAAAAGGAAATTCCATTTTTCTGACCAGCTCTACTTACAGCTTCTTTACATAATGTGGCAGAGTGGTCATTCCAGGGTGAAGACTGTATCTGAGAGAAGAACCCTCCAATTGGTTAGGGTCCACTAAGGATCTCAAGCCCATGGGAGAGCCTAAAACTTTCTGGCAGCAATATGAAGTTAAGTTGGGGCGGGGATTAGAGTTCTGGACCCAAGAATTA